GCCTTTCTCACTCCCAGTTAGCTCCTTTCTCACTCCCAGTTGCCACCTTTCTCACTCCCAGTTAGCTCCTTTCTCACTCCCAGTTAGCTCCTTCTCACTCCCAGTTAGCACCTTTCTCACTCCCGGTTAGCTCCTTTCTCACTCCCAGTTAGCGCTGAAAAATGGTGCAAGAAACCTCCTTTTCCAAGACTTGGTTTAGCTCCAAGGCTAGGCTAACTGCTTGCAGCGAGGCTAACTGCTTGCAGCTAGGCTAACTGCGTGCAGCGAGGCTAACTGTGTGCAGCGAGGCTAACTGCTTGCAGCTAGGCTAACTGCGTGCAGCGAGGCTAACTGCGTGCAGCGAGGCTAACTGCTTGCAGCTAGGCTAACTGCGTGCAGCGAGGCTAACTGCGTGCAGCGAGGCTAACTGCGTGCAGCGAGGCTAAGGCCAGGATCTGATCCAGCCTGGATAAAGGCAGCTAGGACTGATTTAAAGCACTTTGTAGAAAAGGCAAAGAAGAATGAACAATCTGGGATTCACAAGGAAAATAATAGAATATAGTCGACTTTTTCTAGGTGTTTAATTTGCATAGTTGCTATTAAAATCTAAAGCTGACTAATAGCTTCTCCGTTATTAAACTGATAGATATTTTTTTTAGGTTTGTGACTCAATAATGGACCATGCAGAACAGATTTAACTTTACAGCCTCAGAAGGGCAAGATGTATGGACAGAATGTAAACCTGGACATGAAATTATGTTTTTATAAAGTGTTTTTATAATGTTTTTTATTGTTGTTTGCTGGCATTCATATAAATATACTGGTGTGATAACTTAGTAAATGTATGATTGGTGTTTGGTAAAAAATCAATGTTGAATTTACCCCCGGAAAAACACCACTGCCACCTTAGATCAACAATGGCAGATGGTACAGTCATATGAAAAAGTTTGGGCACCCCTATTTCTAAATATTTGGGTGTTTGCAGCAGCTATTTCAGTTTCATATATCTGATGACTGATGGATTAATACTGAATATTTCAGTATTGAACTGAGGTTTATTGGACCAACAGAAAATGTGTAGTACGCATTAAAACTAAATTTGACAGGTGCAAAAATATTGGCACCTTAGCAAAAAACAGACATTAATATTTAGTAGAACCTCTTATTGCAAAAACAACAGCCTCTAGTGGCTTCCTGTTGCTTTGAACGAGTTCCTGGATCCTGGATGAAGGCATTTTTGACCTTCATTCTTTGTAAACTATTCCAGTTCAGTTAAGTTTTAGGTGGCCGAGCACGGACAGCCTGCTTCACATCATCCCACAGATGTTCAATCATCTTCAGGTCTGGGGAATGGGACGGCCGTTCCAGAACACTCTGCATGAATGCCTGATGTGGAGCATTTTTTTGGATCATTGTCAAATCTTGCTGAAATATTCATTCCCGACATAACTTCAACTTCCCAACTGATTCTTGAACATTATTCTTAAGACTCTGCTGATATTGAGTGGAATCCATGCGGCCCTCAACTTTACCAAGATTCCCAGTGCCAGCATTGGCAACGCAGCCCCAAAGCATGATGGAACCTCCACCATATTCTACAGCGGGTAGCAAGGGTTTTTCTTGTATAACGCCTTTTTTATGACCAAACAACTCAGTCTTTGTTCCATCAGTCCACAGGACCTTATTCCAAAATGAAGCTGGTTTGTCCAAATGTACTTTTGCAAACCTCAAGCGATTCCGTTTGTGGCGTTCTTGCAGTAAAGCCTTCTGTCTCATCACTGTCCCATCCAGCTTCTCCTGGTGCAAAATGCACTAAATTGTTGAATGATGCACAGTGAGACCATCTGCAGCAGGATGATGCTGCAGGTCTTTGGAGGTGGTCTGTGCTTTGGAGGTGGTCTGTGGGATGGAGGAGGTCTGTGGGATGGAGGAGGTCTGTGGGATGGAGGAGGTCTGTGGGATGGAGGTGGTCTGTGGGATGGAGGAGGTCTGTGGGATGGAGGTGGTCTGTGGGATGGAGGTGGTCTGTGGGATGGAGGAGGTCTTTGGGATGGAGGAGGTCTGTGGGATGGAGGAGGTCTGTGGGATGGAGGAGGTCTGTGGGATGGAGGAGGTCTGTGGGATGGAGGAGGTCTTTGGGATGGAGGAGGTCTGTGTTTTTGGAGGAGGTCTGTGGGATGGAGGTGGTCTGTGGGATCTCCTGGAGCATTCTCACCATTCTTCTTCTCTGCCTCTTTGATATTTTTCTTGGCCTTCCACTTCTTGGCTGAACCGTCTTGTGGTCTTCCATTTCCTTCCTACGTTCCTCACAGTGGAAACCGACAGTTTAAATCTCTGAGACAACTTTTTGTATTCTTCCCCTGAACGACTATGTTGAACAATCTTTGTTTTCAGATGATGTGAGAGTTGTTTTGAGGAACCCATGATGAATCTTCAGAGGAGATTCAAACAGGAGAACATCTTCCAACCGGCCACCTTAAATAAATGTTCTCATGATTGGATGCACCTGGCTATGAAGCCCAAACCTAATGAAGTTACCAAACCAACTTCGTGTTTCAATAAGTCAGTGAAACGTAGTTAAGGGTGTTCAAATAAATAAAATGAGTTGGGTTTTTGCACCTGTCAAGTTTTGTTTTAATGCATCCTGTACATTTTCTGTTAGTCCAATAAACCTCAAATATTACTGAGTCCATCAGTTATTAGATATATCAAACTGAAATAGCTGCTGAAACACCCAAATATTTAGAAATAAAAATAATTAAGATTAATAGGGGTGCCCAAACTTTTTCACCTGGGCATACTCGGTGTTGAGTCAAGGAGGCCATGTTCCCCTAAATATGGAAGACTTTGGAAAACGTTTTGCTTCATCTCACCACAGCCGCAGAGTGTCGACTGCTGCCGCCGTCCTCAGTAGGAGGAGAGGGGCTGGTAGGCGAAGGGAAGCAAGGGGTCGCCGGTGTCAAGGCTACTGTCACCAGGTCCGGTTCGGGATGTCCGTCCCCCGCTGGCTCCCTGTTCCCGTCCTCCGGAGCTGACGGCTCAGTCCGGGTGCCCGGTGTGTTTCGACTTCGTGCTGGACTGTAGTCGACCAAAATCCTGGACGATTTTGAAATCCTCCCGGAGCTTATTTAGGTCTGAAAAGTAGGAGATGTGGGGGGAAAAGAGGACGTCTGGTCCCCCTACCATATCAACAATCTGATGTTTCAGTGAGTGAGTGCTTGTTGCTATGATGCGTCTTTGCTCAGCAGCGTCGCTCGTTGTAAACCAACCAATCAGAGCACAGCTCATCTAAATATTCATGATC